GAGCTAATTCAGAGTTAAACCAGAGTTGAATTTGAGTTAAACCAAAGTTAAAGCGTTTGGGAGCTCCTACTTCTTTCCGACCACTCAACAAAGAAGTAATCCCAGTTTTTTCTCTATTCCTCACATCGACACACTCTCTGACTGACACGCCTAACAGACAAGCCTGGCAAACGTTAAGACCTAACATTGAACTCACCGGTACACACTTTTGTCTGTCTCCGCAGGAAGATGAACGGCAGCGTCAGGAATGGGGTCAAGGAGCAGTCCATCCCACTGGTGCCGGATAAAAATCGTCCCGTGACGTCACAGTATGTCGACCTAAGCCTCGTGCCCGAGAGACCACCGGAGCCGCGGACCATGTTCACCAAAAAATTGGGAGCGAGGATAGAGCACAGGAAACACCTACTGCTGGTGCGTAGCTCAGATCATTACCCGCTGACATTGTTAAAAGTTGCAATAATCAATACCAGCGGTTCTCACCATGTGCTCCTCGTGCACTTCTCAGCGGCTCAGTGGCCACTACAAATACACTCCTAAATGCAATTAACTTAATTAAATGCAAGTTCGGTGAGTGTAAAAAGAAAAAGCACTTCACAATGTGGGACGAGACAAAAATTTCAAGGGTTTGGGGACACCTTCCAAGAGTAAATTTTAAGACTCTGAAAACTGAGGATCTTGGTTTTCAAAACTGCGGCCAAACAATGCTCAGCAAATATTCAACCAAACATCTCCAATGTTCAGATAATTTACTAGACTTCTGATTTTTTTATTGTCTGGCATCCCTGAATGTTGGAACTCTGAGTCAATTTGAGATATAGACTTCAACTGCTAGACTATACTTCCTCTGTAGAACTCTTTACGTGGTCATGAGGTTGTCACATGGTGTTTATCTTTCCCAGCGGTTCTTAAACTTTTGATCCCTTCTTGAACGTGAACCGTATCAGCAGTTCCGGACCAAAAAAAAAATGGTGCTTCTGCTTAGAATGTACTTCCTCTGAGTTGGGGAGAGAGAAAAAGGGGGGGGGGAGAGAAAAGGTGGTAGGAGATAGAAAGTTGGAGGGGGGAGGGAGGGTGGGGGGGACGATTTGGGAGAGAAGGGGTGGGAGAGAATTTGTGGGAGCGAAGTTGGGAGGAGAGAGAGAGAGGGGGGTTAAAAAAAAAATGGGGGTTCTGGTTAGAATGTGCTTCCTCTGAGTTGGGGAGAGAGAAAAAGGGGGGGGGGAGAGAAAAGGTGGTAGGAGATAGAAAGTTGGAGGAGGGAGAGAGGGTGGGGGAGAATGTTTGGGAGAGAAGGTGTGGGAGAGAATTTGTGGGAGCGAAGTTGGGAGGAGAGAGAGAGAGGGGGGTATGCTTTTTAAAAATGTTTGCATGTTTGATTATAAGTTGTTAAAACAAAGTGATCACTATTGCTTTTTTATGCTGTATCAACTAATACACAGGGGTCCTCAAAATGTGGGTGATCCAGAAATGAGGGGGCAAAAACCCACTCACTAAGGCTTCTTTCTGTTTCTTGTTGTTTCTTTATTTGCCCTTTCTGTTGAGGAAGGCTCTTTGCCGAAAAGTTCTTCTTTTGTCATATCTTTATATTTCCAAGGTTCCGCGGATATCTTGTTCTACTATTTCTTTCATTAAGGCCCATCGAAGTTAATTATGTCACTTGTAAAAGTTCTAAGAGTCCCATTTATAACAACCTTTCCTCTCCCCTGTCCACAGCTCCGCCTCGTATATCTTTCTTTTTTTTCCAAACTCATGGTAAAATACAAAAATTTATCTGGGCTCTAATGAGCACACTTTTTTTTTTAACAAACTCTGGATTTAACATAAAAAGTCCGTTTAACTTAAGTCCCATACATTCATGGAGAGTTGATAACACCAACCACTATTGAACCTGTATATTTCAGAGGCGCAGATGGTTGGTAGATCTAACGTTGGCTGTAGCCGTCATAGGCATCATTTTGATGGTTGTAGAGAACGAGCTCTACTTCTTGGACGTCTCTGGTAAGCGGGAGCCCCCCCCCCCTCTCACAACCCCCTCTTTTATTGTCTTAATACCTAACATTAATTATACTTCAGTACTTACGGCAACAGTCGACATTACAAGATGGTCCTACTCAATATTGTAACATTCGGTGAAATAGACGTACAGATAAGTGTTTGAACATGCCAAAATGTGCAGCAAGTTCTCCGCTATCCGTAAGAGGCGCCTTCGCTGGTTAGTTCATGTAAAGAGAATGAATGAAGGCCGTATTCTGAAGGACCTGCTGTATGGAGAGTTGGCAGAGGGGGGGGGGGGCAAGACTTATTGGACGGCCAATGGCTGCGCTTTATGGACGTGTGTGCTAAAGAAACAGGAGGGTAGCAGCATAGAAACCGGTGAATGGGAGATCGTTGGTGAGCACCGTTCCGACAGGAGAACATCAGGGTATGAAGGAGTCAAACGGGAAGAAGAAGCGCGAAACGAAACGAAGCCTTTGGAGGAAAAAAATAACATTGCGTGAGGCCAAAGTGGATCCGTAGTCAAGGTTCCCCTGCGAGAAGTGGCAGCCGAGACTGTCATTCCAGGCTCGGCCTCATTTGACATTGGATGAAATGTTAATAAGCTACTCAGTCGTCTCACGAAGACATAATAATATGGATGCCAGTGTATGTTATTTTCAAACCTAAACATATGTTGTTCCACTATTTATAAATGTACACGTAGACAAATATAAAATTATAAGTAAAATGACTACATTTATCCTATGTTTTTTAATGCTACAAGATGCTAAAACTGGGGGTATGTAGAAATTTTATTTTTTTTGTTTCTGAAGAAATAACGGTTTCTTGTTTTTATTATTTACATTTATTACTTTTATTTAAAAAAAGCTCTCTCTAGTAAAAGTTCTTATAGCCACTCGGTGATGGGAAAATTGCAAACGCGTGTCGAACATGACACGCCACGTGGTTGCGCATTGAATCCGCAATTCATTATGTTTAAATCCAAAGTAAATTAAGTAAGGAGCCCTCCCACAAACACACACATACACACCTGACCACACTTTCATGTCGGCAACTTTTAAACTCAACCATTTGCTTTTGATGCATTGGAACTGTCAACGTATGTACTTGATACAGGTGATCTCTGGTGGATGCTGTAAGATATCTGGCACGTTGAGTCACGCCCTACAGGGGCTCATGGCCTCAATAAAGACTGGGACGACTGCAGCGATTGGCTGTCGTGATAACAACCGTGCCAGTGGAGGTGCGCAGTAACAACTGGCTAGCTAGTCGCTTGACACACGGTCATGCCAGGTCCAGTCCACACCATTGACCTGCAATAGGTTATTTGACACATGGTCATGTCAGATCAAGTCCACACCATTGCCCTGCAATAGGTCATTTGACACATGGTCACGCCAGGTCCAGACCACACCATTGACCTGCAATAGGTCATTTGACACATGGTCATGTCAGATCAAGTCCACACCATTGCCCTGCAATAGGTCATTTGACACATGGTCATGCCAGGTCAAGTCCACACCACTGACCTGCAGTAGGTCATTGCACACATGACATAGCAGGTCTAGGTCACAACATATGCCTTAGGGATCTTCACAAATGACCAATACCAAGTCTACTTCACAACAAGGCCCTGAAGAGTCATTCGATGACATAACAATGTATCGTCAAGTACTTTACATTAACCATGTTGGTTTTCCCACACATGATTACCAAGCTCTACCAGACCTACCTAACTTTGATTAGTAGTTGTTGTTTTTTCCACACGTGACCAAACCAGGTCCAGCGTATCACGTGTCAATGAATGACCCTCACTGGCCTTCTCTTTTTCGGAGTAATGTCTGCATTTTCAACCAGAGATTGGGACATTATAACGGCAATAACTCTAACCCTGTGTTAACTTTAGAAAATCCTTTTAAAACATGCGTCATAATATAATGTGTGCTTATGCTAAACTGGAAAACCAATCCCCGTGCAAACCCTTAAACCGGAAGTCTGTGTGATCAGCTTACTTTTCTTCCCATCCAGTCCCATGTTTTTCCATATCAAAAAATATACGTATATAAAAAGAAACATAATCATAAGTGATGCCATCGCAGATGTCGTTCACTACCGAGCCCATCGCATAATTATCATGAAACAAATATGTTTTCAGTACATCGTTAAACTTGGCTTGAGACGGTACGGCTCCGGATTTAGGGGAGCTTAAACTTGTTGGTCCTGGGTCAAAGTGAGCAGCTCACTGACCAACTTGTTCTTGGTGGTGGTGTATGTATTCCAAAGCTACGCGGAACCATGCTTGATTTCATTCTATCACAATTCGTTGTTTTGTTTTTGTAACACATCTACTCTGACATGGCGTGGGATCTTATTTCTTATGCTGTGGGTTATGTCAGTAGTATGGTTACTTATGTTATGTTAATACTTCAGGATGCCGACTAAGTCTTCTTCATTCTTTCACTTATTATCCAGGCACGTAAAATAAATTTCATAGTCCGTTACAGTTTTTTTTATTAATAATTAGTATTATTTAACTTATTATTAATCATTATTAATATTGGTATTATTATTATCATTTTTATTATTAATTAATTATTTTAATTATTATTATTATCAGTAGTAGTAGTAGTAGTAATATTAGTAGTAGTAGTAGTAGTAGTAATTATTATTAATAAACATTTTATAATCTTATTTGGAACGATTGCACGATCACATTGTACAGACAAGCCTATTCCAACCGCTGTCCCCTGCAATGTTGATGTGCACTGCACACTCAAGATATGCGTAGAGGAAACTTAGTTTTCTGCATTATAACTCTAAACGTTTTGTCTAAATACTGCCTGACTCTATTTAATGTGATGACGTGTAGAGCAACTGGGACAGTGGTTCCCGAAATAAACTCTAACACAAATAAGTTTTACATTTGTTTAATCACCTCAATGGTCTTTTTTTTCTTCTTAACTATGTCGTTTTGTTTTGTCGTTTCTTTTCCCAAACCATCAGAGAAAGACACCACGGTCTCCATCATGCTCAAGCTCTTCGTCTCCATCAGCACGGGCGTGTTGCTGGTGGCCATCTGCCTCTACTACCACACGGGGGCGGAGATCAAGATGCTGGACGCCAAAGTCGACGTGGGGGGGGGGGGGGGGGGGGGGGGGGGCAAAGTTCACGCACGTTCATAAGTTCTTCCTCGGTATTCTAACGTCACATTTCGCCGCGTTCACAATATTTTCAAATAAGTAACTGCGATCAATGACCTTTTGCATGTTCTTAAAAGGGACGGGGGAACAAAATCGCTTATTATGCCCCCCCCCCAACCCAATTTTTAAAGTAGTAAATGGACAATGATATCCAAATTTTGGGGTTTACCAAACAACATATTTGTAACCTAGGACACGCTTGTCCCTCTCGCTTAGACTTTGAAAATTGTGTTCAAGTTTTCCACTGTCTCCAAAGACATGTTGCAATCGCCGACAGTTCGGGCCGATTAGTTTAGGATTGAACTGGAGGGTGATGTTGTCGAGGCTTCAGTTTCCACCTTGCACAGCTGTATGAATTAAATATTGCAACCGTCAGATCATGTTTCGTGGTTTTAGTCCCACAAATGCATCACAATGTGGACATTGTGTAGAGCAGTTGATAAGCAAAGTGACCATTTACAGAAGTATCAGTCGATAGCACAGGTCGGTTTATTGTAAAGTCCACATGAACTGCTTGTTTACAAGACGATGTTTTAAAGGCTTTACACACATGACACCATGACAATTGACACCATGACACACATGACACCATGACGCACATGACACCATGACACACATGACACCATGACGCACATGACACACATGACACACATGACACACATGACACACATGACACAATGACACAATGACACAATGACACACATGACACCATGACACATATGACATCATGACACACTGACACCATGACGCACATGACATCATGACACACATGACACACATGACACCATGACACTATGACGCACAAGACGCACAAGACGCACATGACACCATGACACACATGACACCATGACACACCATGGTACCATGACACACCATGACACACATGACACTCAGAACCTCAGTTAATTTCCAGTAAGTTATATCGATGTATCTTTTGAAGTTCTTTGTAAAATCTTGACGTTGAACATAGTTTTTTTAAAGGCATTTTTTTTTTACATATTGTGTGCGTGGTCTACACTGGTTCTTGTAGTGGCTTGAGTATTAGTTAGAGTAGTGGCTAGAGTAGTGGCTAGAGCAGTGGCTAGAGTAGTGTCTAGAGTAGTGTCTAGAGTAATGGCTAGAGTAGTGGCTAGAGTAGTAGTTAGAGTAGAGTAGTGGCTAGAGTAGTGACTAGAATAGTAGTTAGAGTAGATCAGTGGCTAGAGTAGTGGCTAGAGTAGTAGTTAGAGTACAGTAGTGGCTAGAGTAGTAGTGAGAGTAGAGTAGTGGCATGACCGACGTTGTAATTATATGTCTCTGTCCATAACGAGCGAGTACGTCCGGCCCTGACCGGAATTTAAGAGAAATGCGGGTTTAACACTTGGCAAAAACTAGGGGGGGGGGGGCCAAAACGCTCACATTCTTGTCATTAGTGGAAGTGGAGGATGGCATAATTATCGTATTGATACAAATTATACAGTCATTGTTCAACAACCGAAATGAGAAAAACAAATTTGTCTCTGTCCATAACGAGCGAGTACGTCCGGCCCTGACCGGAATTTAAGAGAAATGCGGGTTTAACACTTGGCAAAAACTAGGGGGGGGGGGCCAAAACGCTCACATTCTTGTCATTAGTGGTAGTGGATGATGGCATAATTATCGTATTGATACAAATTATACAGTCATTGTTCAACAAACGAAATGAGAAAAACAAATTAACATTGAAAAACAGCAGAAAATATTTAAAGCCTTTTTTTTAAACTCATGCCTTAAATCTTTCAGCCGTGACCTCGGCGTCCACCTGGGTATGTCTGATTATTGAACTGTTGGTCTGCGCCGTCCACCCGTTCCCTGGGAACATCATGGTGTACATGTCCACGATTACAGGTGGTCAGGACCATGTCCACATCGACGGCATCTTGTCCGTGCTGATGATGTTTCGTCTGTACCTGGCAGGTGAGAAACCTAGGCAATGTCATTTGTTGTAGCTTTGTTGGTGGTTTTTCGAGGCTTTTACTTTACGCGACATCTTTAACAAAACAACAAGATTTTTGTATGTATGTCCCCAGCAGCGGAAATTTTGAGAATCCCCTTTACTGTAATTTCAAGTGGAATCCATTAAGTTTTCCAGGAGCCATATAGTTCTCCTCCATGATGACAAACCATTTTCCCCATTATATTTTAACATTTTGATTTGGCACGCTGTTCCTTCTCTAATAGCTCTGATTATAATCCCATCATGTTCCACAGTGCAATGTTACTCTCATAAACAACTAAAGCATATCTAAAGTATTTAAAACATCCCCGTTTACTTGTTGGAGTCTTTCTTGTATGGGTTTTGATTCGTGCAAATCTAAAGACACGGTATCAGTGAAGGATTTTGTTCACCTTGTATTTATATACAATATTTATTTTTATTTGTTGTTGCCTTTTTTTTTTTTTAATAAAACGTCAACATTTTCAACTAATAAAGTATACTTATTTTCTATACTTAAGCGACATCTTATGGTGATGGATGCATCAGCGCACTGGCAACCATTTTCTTCGTTTCTTTACGGGTTTTTTTCCAACTGTTTTTTGTTGTCGAAGGCTTTTTGGCCGAAACGTTCACTTTCGGTTTATTGTTCTTCCTCATGTTTTCATCAATTCCTTTGTATAAGTCTTATCGCTTCAACCTGAACGCAGGCCTCTCCGCATTTCACTTGACGGTTAATTAGGCTTCTATCTTAGGTAGCATCACTACCCTCATACAGAAATGGTAACTTATTTTAAAAGCTGGCCCCCTTGATGGCTGGCGCACAACTGATAGTACACCACTACTGGTACTTATGTGCTGTTTCTTTTTTTTTCAGGACGTTTTCTGGTTGTCCACTCTTCACTACTCACTGACCAGTCCACGCAGACCATCTCGGCGGTCAGTCACGTCAAGATCGACCTCTTCTTCGTCTTCAAGGCCGCGATGACCGACCACCCCGGCAAGGTCATAGCCCTCGCGATGTTCTCGATGTATGCCATGAGCGTCTGGGCCATGCGCACCTGCGAACTCTACTACACGAGCATCACCGACTCCCACAGCATCTACGAGTCCATGTGGCTGTCCGCCATCACGTTCCTCACGGTCGGGTACGGGGACATCACCCCGAAGACCCACTGCGGCAGGTTCGTCGCCGTCATCACCGCGCTCATGGGGCTGGGGTCCACGGCCCTGCTGGTCGCGGTGGTGGCGAAAAAAATGGAACAGACCCGCGCCGAGAGGTACGTGTTCAACTACCTGTCGCTGATCCACCTCGAGCACAAGAGGAAGAACGCCGCGGCCGACGTCATCAAGTTCTCGATCAAGGTCTTCTGCTGGAAAAAGCACTTCGAGCGGGACAAGACGAAGCGGAGCAAAATGAACATAACGTACTTCTCGTGGCGCCTCAGCAACGCCATCCGCGCGATGCGGTCGACGAGGGTCGCCCGCTGCCGTGTCGAGGAGGCGTCCGTCGGGCTCACCGAGCTGAGCCAGCAGGTCAGCCAGACGCAGTCGCTCATCGCCATGCTGGCCACGTCTCAGGGTCAGATCCTGGACAAGCTGACCGACCTGCAGGAGCGGGTCAAGTACAAGGAGGACGATGACGTCTACAGCAACGACGAAGCTGTGGAGAAGGAGGACAGGGAGACCCCGGTGAATGAGGATGTGGCTGACAGCCAAGCCAGTGAAGGCTGGTTGGGGACTTCGTACCTGAAACGACTTTACCGAGGGGATAATGACTAGTGAAAGAGCAAGAACATCTACGGAGAGTTATAAATAGAATACGGGAATACCCAATACACCTCATGAACATTACAATTATGGTGAAAACAGAGGTTTCAAAGTTCAGAAAGTGGGAACAGGGGTTGCAAAGTTCAGACAGTGAGAAAAGAGGTTTCAAAGTTCCTACATTGTGTTTGGTTTATTTATCTGCAGGTTGGAATATTTTTTTTTAAAATACAAGTAATCCAACAGTAGCTTAGCCTCCTGTGTAAGAAAACATTATGACGTAGTTAACTGTTAGTAGATCCAATATCGTGGAGATCAGCGTTCCCCAAATGGTGGCATGCGGGCAAGCACCTGTCCGAGAGCCTTACATTGCCGGTCCGCACAATATGAACGATATGTTCAAATAAAGAGATATTATAATATATAAAACTGGTAGCGGTCCTTGTTGCAATTTCAAGAACCGGTCCACCGGTCCGTCAAACTTAAAAGCTTGTGAAACGCTTATATATAGATCATATGCCATGTGGAATTTCCTCTAACCAGACAATGTGGATGAAAATATCATAGTTAGAAATTGATTCCCTTTTATAGATATAACAATCTTCAGGTCATTAGCGTGGAATTACATTGTACGGCAAATATTTACCCACACCGCTCAAAGTATCAGTGACAAAACTACTTTGTGGAAGGAAAAATATATTTTTTGAAGAAGAAAAAATTATTTTTTTTTTAATGTTTTGTGTAATGATCAACAATTTACGCCCACGTTAATGAGTATATACGACTTCGGCGTCTGTGTTTCAAACGTACCATTTAATAAGTAAAGGCATTAGCCAATGTGGCAACAGCGATCTCAGACTCAGACGAGATTACGTTGACACATTTCCTGATCACTTTCATCAGAGCACTTCTCCACTCTTACTGTGCATTTCAATGTGCATTCATCCAATCGTATCAGCGTCTTTACACAAAGAAAGACCAATGCTGCCATTTATTTATTTTTTTGAGAGGCTATTCACCCAGGTTTTTTGGGGGGAAGCGCTGAGATATGTATTATAAAACAACATATATTCAATCCATAATCAGATTGGGGTACAGAATACTGTGATATGTTGATATGTTGATATGTTGATACATCTTATTGGTGACTTTTGTAGTTTTTGCTTGATTGTTTTATTTTGTAAATAAACCTGTATCATTAATCGAGGCCACAAAGCAAGGAACTCTCCTACCGAAAGTGTATAGATTTTAAACTGTATAAATATTTATTTTATTCTGTACGCTGTCGATACTATACGTATGTTTCTATTCCCTAGAACATCTGTGTGTGTGTGTGGGGGGGGGGGCGCCTTGGATAACCGCCAACATATCTAGAGAAATATGATGATTAAAAATGCCTTATATACTTCAAACCTGGCAGAACTTGATTTATTTCAGTTTTTGTTTGTATTTTATATGTCTACCATGTCTTTATTGTTTCCTTGTTTGGTAGTTTCTGTTATCTCTTACACCCCTCTCGTCTTTCTTGCACCCTTCCCCTCTTCATTGCAACCCTCTCCCCTTTCTTGCAACCATCTTCCCATTTCTTGCAACCCTCTTCCCTTTTCTTTCACTTTCTCCCCTTCTTGCACCCCTCTCCTCTTTCTAGCAACTCTCTTCCCTTTCTTGCACCTGTCTTCACTTTCTACCAACCCTCTTCCCTTCTTGCACCCCGCTCCCCTTTTCTTTCACTTTCTCCCCTTTCTTTCAACCCTCTCTCCCGTGTTGCCTCCCTTACATTTCTTTTCGTTACTATTTAGATTCGCCTTTTATGCAGATGACTAACATAACAATCCCATACAGAAAACTCCATGCTTGATTTATTTGCTGTTATGTTAAGTTTTACTATTGTAAACATTCCATGTTTTAATTGAATTTGATGCCAGATAATGAATAAAAATGTCTTACTTGCAAAAAGTATATTGCGTTGTTGTTGTTGCTGTTGTTGTTGTTGTTGCTCTTTTTTGGTGTTCATCTAACAAACAGTGGTTCTCAACCTGTGGGTCGCGACCCCTTTGGGGGTCGCACGACCCTTTCCTAGGGATCGCCTAAGATTACCTGGAAACGCAAATACTCTACAGTTATGAAGTAGCAACGAAAATAATTTTGTGCCGGGGGTCTGTATTAAAGGGTCGCGCATTGGGAAGGTTGAGAACCACTGCCTTAGAGTCTCTATAAATCAGAGTTTCTCAACCATGCTACGAACCCCATTCCAATTGTTAGACTATATTTGGTGCTAACCCTTCTGCTTCTCCCCCCAAACGCACACACACTCACACATATATATATACAAGTAGCAATGCCTCTCAAACTGTGAAGATAAAAGACTTCAGATTTATTTATAGAGTTGCCTAGATAACTGTAGAGCTGTGAAAATAAACGTATGATTCCATGCCTCGCACCCTTGAAATGCTACCTCACACCCTTGAAATGCTACCTCGCACCCTTGAAATGCTACCTCGCACCCTTGAAATGCTACCTCGCACCCTTGAAATGCTACCTCGCACCCTTGAAATGCTACCTCACACCCTTGAAATGCTACCTCGCACTCTTGAAATGCTACCTCGCACCCTTGAAATGCTACCTCGCACCCTTGAAATGCTACCTCACACACTTGAAATCCTACCTCATCTCGCACCCTTGAAATGCTACCTCGCACCCTTGAAATGCTACCTCGCACCCTTGAAATGCTACCTCGCACCCTTGAAATGTTACCTCGCACCCTTGAAATGTTACCTCGCACCCTTGAAATGCTACCTCGCACCCTTGAAATGCTACCTCGCACCCTTGAAATGCTACCTCGCACCCTTGAAATGTCACCTCGCACCCTTGAAATGCTACCTTGCACCCTTGAAATGTCACCTCGCACCCTTGAAATGCTACCTTGCACCCTTGAAATGCTACCTCGCACCCTTGAAATGTCACCTTGCACCCTTGAAATGCTACCTTGCACCCTTGAAATGCTACCTCGCACTCTTGAAATGTCACCTCGCACTCTTGAAATGTCACCTCGCACCCTTGAAATGCTACCTCGCACCCTTGAAATGCTACCTCGCACCCTTGAAATGTCACCTCGCACCCTTGAAATGCTACCTCGCACCCTTGAAATGCTACCTCGCACTCCTGAAATGTCACCTCGCACCCCTTGAAATGTCACCTCGCACCCTTGAAATGCTACCTCGCACCCTTGAAATGCTACCTCGCCCTCCTGAAATGTCACCTCGCCCCCCTTGACATGCCACTTCGCACCCCAGAAATGCCCCCCCCCCCCATTTCATCCTAGTTTGGGAAACTGTAAAGCTAATTGCTATGGGGTGTTGAATTTTGAGGTGAAATTGCTTTACGCAGGGCCAACCTACCCAAAGTGTGATTCTAATTCTGTAGGTGCTGGACGGTGTCCCCTAGGATATATAAATATTTTAGTTTATTTGTTTTGTAAACAGACTTTTATGCATCTTATTTTTTTAAGACGTATTTTCCTAATCAGATTAATAATTCATTTTGTTAATGTGTTTACTTCACCAAAATCATGAAATGTTGTGTTCAACTACACTTCGTACATAGCCGTATTTCAAGACTTCTTAAGCTAATTTTGTTTCTCCAGTTTTGAAATTAAGATAAGAAAAACCTTTTAGCAACAAGTGAGCCATTTTCTAAAAGACATAACTAACATACTTGTACATATACATATTTATTTATTGTACCAACGAAAACATATGTATAATATAGACAGATCTCACATATTTTTTTTTTGTCTAGCATAGACATAGCCTTATAACAAACAGCTTAAAAAACTATTTAAAAAAAAAAAAAAATTAATGCCTTACATTTTTTATTCCCCCCCCCCCCCAAACCAAAAAAATATTTATTTTTTTTAAAAGTATTTAGATATACATCGTATTGTTAACAAGATAAATCAGACAACTGGGTCTTCTTTGAAAGAGAGGGAGATGACAAGTGTGTGTGTATGCTTGTGTGTGTGTGTGCTTGTGTGTGTGTGTGCTTCTGTTAGTGTGTTGATTTTAGTTTAGATCTAGTTGTTTCGTTGTTTTGTTTTTTTGGGGGGGTCTATTTTTAGAAGGGAAGATGAAAAAAATGGGGGAGGGGGGTAGTTTTACTTCAGTTTTATGTGTGTGTTTGTTAAGAAATGTCATGACTTATATGTCACACATTACAGTGACTGACATGTCACACATTACAGTGACTGACATGTCACACATTACAGTGACTGACATGTCACACATTACAGTGACTGACATGTCACACATTACAGTGACTGACATGTCACACATTACAGATTTTAACAAAAGAAACGAGACCATGTTCATCTTATGTTACCAGCATCAAATAAACCACAGACATCTGCTGCCGCAACATTCCAATGACCTAAAACAGTATCAAGCAACACGAGAGGTTCCGGGTCTCCTCATCTCAGTCTATGTTTTTTTTTTAAATTATACTTATAAATCGATCGTTGTTGACAATTTTCAAGTCTCGGAATAGATCTATCACACTTCTATCAACTTTTGCCTTCAGTCGTGGATTAAAAGTATCACATTTCTATCGAATTTTGTCGTTAGTCACGATATAAACCTACCAGATTTCTATCGACTTTTAGCTTTAGTGGCATATTGATACAGAGCAATAAAAAAAGCAATATATACAAAAAAAAGTATGACATAACAGATGAAGCTACAATCCATGAAGCATCAAAGATGACTAGATACAAAGACATCCATTAAATTTGAACATCAATTGTTTGATTTTTTTTTAAAAATTAAGTAGGTAATCTGTTTTTGGCCCTTGAATCTCATACTATGACCTAGAATGCCCTGACTGATCATGTCGAGATGTTCTAGAGACATCAGCCAGTCGCAAGCCTTCTTCCACCGGGGGGGAGAGAGAGTTGACTATTTACATAAGGGCTTCATGTCAGAGATGCCCTCGGCACACGTGTACGGAAGCTGCACCACCTTCAGGATGGACTCGCACACGTTCTTGACCGGATCGATGCAAGCGCTGAAGGGAAGCAGCAGGATGTACAGCCAGGCGATGAAGAAGGCCAGCGGCCAGCCGATGACGATGAGCACCACGAGCCAGCAGAACGACCAGATCAGACCTGGACACAGGCGCCCCTTTCCGGAGCCTTCCCCGACACCCTCGCCTGCTCCCATTGTTCGTCTCTGGAGTGACGGTTTTGGTGGTGTGCTGCGCTGCTGTGCGACTTCGACCGACAAAACCTGGAGGAGGGAAAGAACGAAATGGTTTACGAGAGGGGTTCTCAAACGCATGTGGGTATGTTGAGCCGCTGAAATAGTCCGGTGAAATTTACATCATATACCACAATGTGCATTTTTCTTCAATATAATAATAATTTGGCCTGGGTATCTGTATTTTCTTATGTTGGTGTTAGCGGTTGACTCGATTTTAGGGCTGCTGTTAGGTCTGCTGTTAGGTCTGCTGTTAGGTCTGCTGTTAGGTCTGCTGCTAGGTGTGCTGTTAGGTCTGCTGTTAGGTCCGCTGTTAGGTGTGCTGTTAGATCTGCTGTTAGGTGTGCTGTTTGGTCTGCTCTTGGGTCTGCTGTTGGGTATGCTGTTAGGTGTGCTGTTGGGTCTGCTGTTAGTTGTGCTGTTGGGTCTGCTGTTAGGTGTGCTGTTGGGTCTGCTGTTAGGTGTGCTGTTGGGTCTGCTGTTAGGTGTGCTGTTGGGTCTGCTGTTGGGTCTGCTGTTGGGTCTGCTGTTGGGTCTGCTGTTGGGTCTGCTGTTGGGTCTGCTGTTGGGTCTGCTGTTGGGTCTGCTGTTGGGTCTGCTGTTGGGTCTGCTGTTAGGTCTGCTGTTGGGTCTGCTATTAGGCCTGCTGTTAGGTGTTCGGTTAGGTCTTCTGTTAGGTGTGCTGTTGGATCTGCCGTTGGGTCTGCTGTTATGTGTGCTGTTAGGTGTGATGTTAGGTGTGATGTTAGGTGTGATGTTAGGTGTGCTGTTAGGTGTGATGTTAGGTGTGCTGTTAGGTGTGATGTTAGGTGTGCTGTTAGGTGTGATGTTAGGTGTGCTGTTAGGTGTGATGTTAGGTGTGATGTTAGGTGTGCTGTTAGGTGTGATGTTAGGTGTTAAGTTAGGTGTGATGTTAGGTGTGATGTTAGGTGTGCTGTTAGGTGTGCTGTTAGGTGTGCTGTTAGGTGTGATGTTAGGTGTGATGTTAGGTGTGATGTTAGGTGTGATGTTAGGTGTGCTTTTAGGTGTGATATTAGGTGTGATGTTAGGTGTGCTGTTAGGTGTGATGTTAGGTGGACTGTTTTTGTGCTGTTAGGTGTACTGTTAGGTCTGCTGTTAGGTTTGCTATTAGGTGTGATGTTAGGTGTGCTGTTAGGTGTGCTGTTAGGTGTACTGTTAGGTGTGCTGTTAGGTGTGCTGTTAGGTGTACTGTTAGGTCTGCTGTTAGGTTTGCTATTAGGTGTGATGTTAGGTGTGCTGTTAGGTGTAGTGTTAGGTATACTGTTAGGTGTGCTGTTAGGTGTGATGTTAGGTGTGATGTTAGGTGTCCTGTTAGGTGTGCTGTTAGGTGTACTATTAGTTTTGCTGTTATGTGTACTGTTAGGTCTGCTTTTGGGTCTGCTGATAGGTCTGCTGTTGAGTGTGCTGTAAGGTTCCTTAGTTTGAGGAGTTAAATGTCCTGCTTTTAACGTAAATAAAGTAAATATAGTAAATCTAATTTGTGTTTGTTAATCAAAAATCACAAAGTGTTTCCATTACAATTTGAAAAATGAAAAGCAACTTTAATTTCTTTTTTTTTTAACTGATTGCCCTCTGCTCGAGCGTAAGCAATGGGGGGGGGGGATGTTATGCAGCTTTGTCTATCAATCATGGACTACTTCCTATTACTGAATAAAAGTAAAGTCACACCCATTATTTATGTCACAATTTTTGGTTTTAAAATAGTGCGACCTATCATTAAGTGTATGCGGTCATTTACATTTGTACGTGTGAAAAACAGGGTGATGCTCAGCACAATTACGTTTCTGAAAAGGATGAGGAACTCTTCAGCGAAGAAAAGAATTTCAAATCTGAAGCACCGGAAAGTGAGAGCTGTACATACAACACCATACGAGTATAATGTAAGACCTATCATATTCTCATACATGTGTAATGTAAGACCTATCATATTCTCATACATGTGTAATGTAAGACCTATCATATTCTCATACATGTGTAATGTAAGACCTATCATATTCTCATACATGTGTAATGTAAAACCTATCATATTCTCATACATGTGTAATGTAAGACCTATCATATTCTCATACATGTGTAATGTAAGACCTATCATATTCTCATACATGTGTAATGTAAGACCTATCATATTCTCATACATGTGTAATGTAAGACCATATCATATTCTCATACATGTGTAATGTAAGACCTATCATATTCTCATACATGTGTAATGTAAGACCTATCATATTCTCATACATGTGTAATGTAAGACCATATCATATTCTCATACATGTGTAATGTAAGACCTATCATATTCTCATACATGTGTAATGTAAGACCTATCATATTCTCATACATGTGTAATCATATTCTCATTCGTGTGTAATGTAAGACCTATCATATTCTCATACATGTGTAATGTAAGACCTATCATATTCTCATACATGTGTAATCATATTCTCATTCGTGTGTAATGTAAGACCTATCATATTCTCATACGTTTATAATGTCAGACCGTATAATTCTTTTATGCAACGACTTCTTTCGCGCATCATTTCCATGGGAGTCTTCGGTTATCCGAAAATATTCTATTTTATCTCTGCCTCCCACTGTCCCACATAGTTTGAATGGTCGACATTCTTTGGTATATATTCATTTTCAAAGTTGTAACTTAGTTTCTTATTATGCCTTCTCGTGAATTTCTTTTTGGCATATGGCGTGTAATTGTTTTTTTAGTATCTCGTAGGCGAATTTTTTTTATTTTTTTTTATTGAGACAACTTTTGTTGGTCTCTATTAACCTTTCGTTAAAATTTAACTAATGAAATGGGGGGGGGGGGGGGGGGGGTTTTTAACGCTCTCCATGGGCAGACTATTTTTATAGAAAAATACTTTCTTTGGCATAAAAAAAACTTTTTTTTTTTTTGTTTTTTGTTTGGGATTTTTTTTTTTTTTTTTTTTTTGTGGTATTTTTTTTTTGTTTTTTTTAAACTTTCGTTAAAAATTTACTTAAGGGATGGGGGGGGGGGAGGTGAGGTCTTTAACGCTCTCCATGGGCAGACTATTTTTATAGTAAAATACTTTCCTTGGCATAAAAAGAACTTTTTGTCACATGTTAATGGACAATATCAAACTATATAGTCACTATTAACGGAAAGTTTCAAACTATACTATTTCTTTTAACGGACACTTTTAAACTATACTAACACTTTTAACTGACAAATTCCCTCTTTTGTTTTTTTTTAAACAAAACCTTTCACTTCTTCTTATCACTATTTTTTGACCGACGGCTTCCCTTATAAACAGATCACTTAAAAATTAGTCAACAACAAACCTTGAACGAAATTTATCGCGGGACACTGTGTCTGGAATCAAACCAGCAGAAGATATTTCCCTTTTGAAAATGTCGCAGACGATGTATTCCTGCGAGTGATTTTGTGAACCTTTTTTTTGTGGACCAGGCGATGCATGTGTTTTTAAAGGTCATATTTTTTTGTTTCATGATGTCATCAGACGATAATAGCCTGGAGTTCACGTCTGCTATCCAGTCCTGTTATCCAGTCATGTACACCATCCACGGTGACAGGGTGATTGGGTCATGTGACTTACACATCCTTATCGCTGGGATGAGCTCACAGTGCTGCATGGGCGTCTCCTTAATCATAGCAGTGCTTCCCCAAACGTATAAGTTTTGACAGACAGGTGGACAAGTTTCGAAACTGCACTTAGAACCAGTGCCAGATTTTTTTTTTTTTTTTAAATTTATTTCACTGACTCGATGCTCTCTGCAAGTCCGCGAAGACCAATTTGAGAAACACTGATTTAAGACATTATATTTAAATAACATCCTCTTTTTCTTTTTTGGTCTGTGTTATATCCCATGGATCTTTGCAGTGAAAGAAAAAGAAAGATGTCTTAGAGTTCTAATCGACGTGTTAAAGCGTTGAGACACAGGGCGGTTAGGTTTGACTGCTCATTTCACAAATCTCTACAATCATAAGAAAAGAAGTATGATATCGGTTATTACTGAGTGAAAAATCCCTCGTAGATCATTCCAAAATCTCATCTCGACTTATTAATGATAAAAATAGCAACAATTATAATAATTATAATTAATGATCAGAATATTATTAAAAAAATATAACTTTGAAATTCATAAATGCAAACCAGCTCAGTCTTGCTTTGCTACGTGCATCTGTATATATATATGTCATTTATGTGTGTGTTTTCTTGCAATCCTTCATTTCACTTCTAACAACCACACAAAAATCCCTGTGGAGCCTTGCCTCTCAATGACCTCGCACCCACTCAACAGAGACTGGCAACGCCCACGGCTGAGCGGTTGGCCTGACATAAGCTATCATCACCCATTGTTGAGAGGCCAAATACCAGTGACTATCACAGTCGAGATGTACTATCAAGGTCACCATCAACTGTTGATAACGTGGATCCTGCAAATAGAACTGAGAACGGCAATGAGTGACGTGATGGAATGTCGTGTGACGTGAGCCTCGGTGGTAACCTGTGTGGGTGTGTGTGGAATGGTTGGGGGGGGGAGAATAACGTGGCTAATACTTTTTACCATGTGGTAATCTATTTGTCTCCTCTTTGCAGATGGTGACGATTTTAATACTTTGAATAACTTTTTGTCCATTCGATCAAGGTAATTGACAGCTATGACGGATATCCATGACGTTACAGAAGGGCTAAATGAAACCGAAAATTCATTCATTTAAATCAGGGGTCGGGAACCTTCTTGTCTGAGAGAGCCATGGACACTACATATTTTGAAAAGTAATTCTATGAGAGCCATACATTACGTTTAAAACTAAAAATTCAAGTAAATGTGTGCATCTTGTGTAATTTCAACACTAAAAATGCAATAATTGTGTCTCTGAATTCTTTTTAATAACATTGTTATGCTGTTGCTAATCAATAATGAGTATTTCTTACCATTAATGCGACTTTTTTTTCTAATCGAGCATTTGTCTGCGAGCCAGATGCAGCCATCAACAGAGCAAGATCTGGCTCGCGAGCCGTAGGTTCCCGACCCCTGATTTAAATAAAGGATTTATTGACATACAACCTTTTTTATATATAATATATAAACAGAAACACCCAAGAAATCTCATTCCTTGATAAACGTGAAGGAAACAGGCGAGGGATTGGGGGGGGGGGGAGTTTAGGTGGAGGGTTTGCCAACTCAATTAAAATAAATATTATTTTACGTACAAATATTAAAATCCTCCATAATCTTTACGGACAAACTCACTTTTTTTCTCTCTCACAGTATTACAAAAAAACTTGTGAATTTAAGTTAGGAAGCTTAAAAAAAGAAGGGGCATTCAAACATACCGATGACTGTATTTGTATGACTCGTGTACTATCCTATAATAATTGCATAACGATGTGTCTATCAGTGGCGTAGGAATGTTGCGGAGGGGCGCGGTCCACCCTGGGTGGCACTTTCCTTCGTTATATGGAGGGGTGGGATTTTATTTTTTGCCAAATGCAAATTTTTTATCAATGAGGGGGAGGGGCGGCAGAAATCTTGGCTTGCCCGGGACGTCGTTAACACTGTCTACGCCACTGGTGGCTATACCATGTTGCTGTGACTCTCTGTCATGTGACCAGGAAACATGGGCTTATTTTATGTTAGTTTACTGTACGGCATTCTCAACAATGTTGAATTTTTCTCTTTATTATCGTAAAAACTTAAAGAATTAAAAGCTACTAAGGAAAAAGAAAGAAAAAAAAAGATAAATCCTGATATTTTATGTTTTGTTTCGTTTTAAATGACTTTTCTACAATGTCTCATTTTCTTTGAAATTACACCCTGAAGTTCTTACGAACATTTACGGACAAGTCAATTGAAGTCAAATTTGTACAGACTGGCAACCCCCCCCCCCATGGGGGGGGGGGGGTCCGGCTGGGGGGGAAAGAAGGGGAGAAAGTGCGGGTGGTGACATTGTTTTGTGAAGTGGTGGCGTAACTGTTTAAAAACGGCTGCTCCTGGTGTGGGTAACGGGGCGCCTCCAGCGGTGAACAGCCACCAGATCTCCTATTCATCGTTCTTATCAACCACTTGTGTCTGTGTTGTTGTTTTTTTGTTGTTTTTTTTAAAGAAAATTAAATAAATAAATTATTCTTAAAATTAAAATCATTCAACACAAAAAAATCTAATAATCAATGATTTCTATAAAATAAATAAGTGCAATAGAGGAACGCTTCCAGCGTGTTGTGGTGACACGTGACTCGGCAGTCGTCGTGACGGCCAGTCTTGCATATACGTCATTTCGGCCTGGTCGCCTAACCTTTATCTTATTTGTTCAAAGATCTCACGAGCTGGAAATGCGTTCGGATTTCCACCACTGGGATCCACTCAACAGATTTCTGAGCCCATTTAACCTGTCTTGGCGACCAATGATTTTTTTTATTATAATCAACATAAATTTTTTTTTTTTTTTTAAAAAGGGAAAGAAATCGAGGGAACACAGTCGTATGTCAAACATAATAAAGGCAAATATGTTATCAGTGGTTTTTTTTAAAACAGAAATATGTTATTTTCTTGTAATAATTTATTTAAGATTATAATTATAATTAAGTAATAAATAACTTAGGCTATCCCCCCCACCCCACAGTATCCTTTTTTTTTTCTTCAGTTTGCTAAGCTATTTATTATGCGTTGTTGGAAAAAAAAATTTAAAAAGAGATGACCTTAGAAGACCAAATAAATTGTTAAGTTTCATAACTCATTAATGTAGTAGCTTATATGTCCGTGTCTGACGCAATTTGTGACCTCGTCTAATTGCCTAGTGTGTCGTGCATGTTATTAATTGAATTCAGACGTGTTGTCTTAGGTGTGAAAAGTTGACATTTTATTTTCTTCGTAAGCAATATAATGAATGACCCCCGCCCACCCCCCCCCCCACAAAAGCAGGTATTTCATTCCGAGACCCCGAGGCAAGGGGAATAACGGTGTTTTACATTGTGACAGTAAGAATCTCTTGGTCTTCTCCCATTCGTAAACATTATTTTTTTAATTCCCGAGTTGCTTCAATTAAACTGATTAACTTTGATATAAATCAGTCGAATTCAGAAAATATGTCAACAAATCTCTATCGATTATTTCATTATAATAAATAATCGTTATCTTTCAATTTATTTTCAAAACAGATTCCTTGATTTTTTCATTTCTTTTTTTTTTTTTTTTGATTTTTTTTTTTTATTATTAAAATTTGTTGTTTTTTTTGTTTTTTTTTTTTTTTTTTTTTTTTATTTAATTTCTTCTTATTAGTAGTAAAAATTGTTGTTTTTTTTGTTTTTTATTGTTTTTTTTTTTTTTAATTTAAACATTCCAAACACATTTATGTATCCAGTCTTGATAATATCTTAATACATTTCCTTGTGTACACACACAAAAATACATAATTCTGACAACGTATGGGTAAAAAATGAGAATAATACAAATTTATTTATTTTATATAAATAGATGTTTATTACAAACAGACTTACCAAGGCATGTTTTTTATTAAATAAAATATTTCAGACACTTAGATTTCTTTTTTAATTCACAGTCATACTTAGCATTTTAAGATTTCTTCTGCAATGCTTTTTTTAACGCTCTGATTGGTAAAGCACTGTGGTGAAATAATATTTTTTTTTTAAATTTCATTTTCAATTTTTTTTTTATTAAATAGTGCAAGAAATTCTTAACAGAAAATTCCTTTTAATAATGTATTTTTAACATTCCAGAAGATTATATTTTTTAAAACAGTAAATTTAACCTTGAACTCCTTCTCCCCGCTTACACAATGTAATGAAACAGACAGGCACACACACATATTCATTGCATAAAGAAAATCACACGAAATAAATCGGATTTAACTGTTTTAAAACTATAATGATCAAATACTCTTTCGCGATAATGGCATCACTTTGACTAGCCAGTGGTCACACATTCAGAAAGTGGCGCCTGTATTTTGACACATTCAGAAAGTGGTGCCACGTTACGCCATTAAGAAGTTAAGTTCCGCTCTTCAATATTCAGAAAGCAGTGCCGCTCTTCTGTAAAGCTTTCCGTTGCTGCCGCTGGGTCTCTTAAAGGAATGTTGTTTATTTTACCTCTGTGGTTTACAAAGCGTTATTGTAAGGTATGTATTTACAGAATTATAATCTTTATACGGTGTTTGTTTTGCTTCTTTTTCTTCTTTTTTTTTTTCTTTGTTGTTTTTGGGGGGGGGGGGGGGGGTTTTTTTTTTTTTTTTTTTTTTGTTTTTTTTTTTTTTTTTTTTTTTTTTTTTTTTTTTTGTTTTTGGGGGGGGGGTTGTTTCATTTTTTTTTATTGTTTGCTTTTTAATGAAAAAAATATATGTATTTGAAACTTTAAAAAAATAAATGTAAGAATAAAAAAAATTATCAAACTACCCAGTTAAATTGAGTAAATTTGGTGTTTTTTTAAATATCTTTTTCAGTAGATTTATTTTCACCTTACGTCTTTTTAAATAATAATTTAAAATATTACTTGAAAGTAAAATAGCTTCCATAAG